ATATTCATCAGATAAAGAAGAAAGAGACTGGGTAGGAATAGAAGACTGGTGGGAGTGAGAACAGAGGCAAAAGAGTAACAGAGGTGAATATGGTCACAGTACAGGATGTACCTGAAGATCATGTCATCGTAAACTCATCACTTTGTGCAATGGATAGAACCTTACAAAAATGTTTGATGTGAATTTTCTGTGGAATGAACGGATATAAAATATCAGGTAGAAAGAAGAAAGATAATAAGAAGGCTGGGTGAAAGGCGAACTTGGGGTGACAGAGATGATGTAACAAAGAAGGAACAAGATTTGAAAAGTGTTTTCAGGACACAAATGAGAGTTTGATAATGAGCCATGTGAGAACTGAGGGCAAAAGAGGACCCTGAAAAATTATAGTACAAAGGGGACAGATGCACTCTCTGTTGATACAAGGACTTATGTGAGGAGAATGCAAGGATGCTTTCCAATCTGGGGCTTTGTTGAGATGTGTGATAAATGTGTGCAAAGATAAATTTCAAATATCCCATTGAATATATAGTTCTGAACATCATAGAGGATTTCTCAGCTGCAGCAGTAAAATTAAAATCCATCATCAAATGTTGCATAGAAATGGATGTCTAAGTATGAGCAGACCCACCAGCACTCCTGTATGCCACCTGCTCACATAAAAGCTCATCATGTGTCATCCCATTTTCTACTCTCCAGGGGATTTCTTCCCCCTGCCTCCTCATGTCCATCTTCCCATCTTTAACCCATGCACACTTGATGTTTTCTATCCCAAGTTTTCTATCTCAGCTATGTTCCCAAATGCAACTTCCACGGCCCTGTGCCCTTTGTTCCCCACAACTGAAACATGTCCCAACTCTTAAAACCCCAAGATATTCCTAAGGACCAGATGTTCTAAGATATAAAGAAATAAGTCCCCTCCACCAAGAAATCTGGCACTGTTGTTGCTGAGGTCTCTTCTGTTAATGTTTCCTGCATTCTCCACTGGACTGATGGCTATTCAGAGGGGCCACTATGATGACAAAGGCTGGGGGGACAGACAAGAGTAGTACTCATCCCTCACCAAGGAAACTTCATGACACAACAGATGAAGACCGTTACACATTACATCACATATGGCATTACAAAACAACAAACAAAAATGCAGACATGTGAAAGTGGATGGAAGAAAAGCCCACGAGGCCTCGACCCTACATAAATAACTACAGGGAACTAGGAATTCTGAGAGTGAGAGAAATGGTCTTCCCCAGGGAGGAGAACACCAGTTGGTTATCCAATGCCAAACGGTCAGCTCTGGAAACACACAACAACATTATACAGACTAAGGAGGGTATATTAGAAATATATACTTGCATCTACATATACATAAATGCATGTAGCAACAATTCATGTAAAAGGAAGCCATGGCTTTGAAAGAGAAAAAAGGGGTACATGGGAGCATTTAGAGGAAGAAAACGGAGGGAAGAAATGACATATTATATCATAATCTAAATATCTTCATCCTATTAGAGTTACAAGGTGAGACCCTGTCTCAAAAAGTTTACAAAAAGACCCTTGTCTTAGTTAGGGCTTATGTTGCTGTGATGAAAGACCATTACCAAAAAACAAGTTGGGGAGCAAATGTTTTATTTGGCTTCCCCTTCACCATTACTGTTCATCACCAAAGGAAGTCAGGACAGGAACTCAAACAGGGCAGGAACCTGGAGGTAGGAGCAGGTGCAGAAGCCATGGTGTGGCGCTGCTTACTGACTTACTGGCTTCCCATGGCTTGATCAGCCTGCATTCTCACAGAACCCAGGACCCAGGGTGCCTCCAGCCCAGGGATGGCACCACCCACCATGTACTAGGTGCCCCCCATGATAGCTACCTGAGAAAATTTCTTACAACTGGATCTTATGGAGGTATTTCCTCAACTGAGTCTCCTTCATCTCTGATGACTCTAACTTGTGTCAAGTTGACACCAAACCA